GTGATCAAAGCTGCATTTTCAGCATCATTACTCCAGTCTTCAGTGTCACATGATCCTTCAGAAATCATTCTGATTTGCTGCTTATAAACATTTCTTCTTGTTAAAAACAATTGCTCTGCTTAATGTTTTTGTTCAAAAGTGACACATTTTCAGGATTCTTTAATGATTAAAGAGTTCAAAAGAACGGCATTTAAAATACAAATTAGAACATTTACTGTTACTTCAATAAATAAATAAACTACTGACCCTAAACTTGTGAATAGTAGTGAACCATAGTTTACCATAATAAAAACAAACACCCAATTTAACTGAATGTTCCCTAAAACAGAATACAAATGTTTTGGCAAAAAATAACCATAATGCTACAAAAGAATGACTTTTTAAAACAAGTCACTTAAAATAACATGTGTCGCAACTCACTGTCACAAGCATATGGTTTGTCTCGATCTTCCTGGGCAGCTGCAGCAGCTTCCATTTTCTTTTTTCCATTTCCAACTCCTCGACCCTGGCAGATTAAAACAAAATTTCCATAACACTATTCCTCCAGGCCATCGCACGTCGCACGTCTAAGAACTATCACATAGAATCAATATTCAATTACGTAAAGGCACAATATGTAAGTTTTTGCCGTTAGAGGGCACGCATTCAAAACAAACAAAGAGACAAAGGCGTAGTTTGATGACGTCGTCGCTGAGTGTGGAATCATAGTTAAAATTGCTTATTTCTCTGGATTTAAACATTCTTCGAAACATTTGGGATAATGTAAGTACACAAGTCAGCAAAATATAGAACATTGTTCTAGTGGTTTTTGGATATTTTAATAAAAAACCTTACATATTGTGCCTTTAAACAACAGCAGACTAGGCATGTTACCTTAGACTTTCCTTTTCCTCGTCTTTTTGGAGTCTCCTCCTCAAAATCTTCATCGTCCAGATCATCCAAGTAGTCTTCCGGCTCAAGGATCCTCTGAGAACGACAGGAAATGATCAGGCTATGCATTCATATAGGAAAAAATCCACCACTTGTGTGCTTATGCTACCTTCCTGATGCGTGTCGAGCCGCTGTGGCTGCTGGCCGTGCTGCTTCCAGTGATCTCAGCCAGACTGGTTTCTTCCTCAGGCGGTCTGAGCTCAGTGGGCACTCTTTTATCCAGCGGCTCTCCTTTCAGCAAGGCTTCCAGACTGCTCCCATCCACCGGCCCCAACACATCTTTCTTCATTCCCAGTTCCAGCTCAGCTTTGAAAAGATGCCATTTTTAATAATTTGCTTACGATTTACAATCTGATTTTAAATATTTTCTCTGACTTGTATATCTCAATCTATATTGTTTTTATTCATTAAGCCTGACATATGAAATAATAATCTTTTTCTTTTTTTAATGCAACAGTTTATTTAACCTTTTGATAAAATCTGAGAAACAAAAAAGTTTGCACATGTGTTTTATGTTGAGTATCATTTTGATACAACAGGCTTTTATGGCCAATAATGTAGGAGAATATGGAGATGATATTAGATCAAAAATAAGATGAAAAATTGATAGCTTGTAATCAATGAGATCTTTATAACAATACTACTTACATAAAATGCATATAAATAATAAAAAAAATGTCTTAGTAAGATAGTGTTTTTATGATCAAAGCTCTGTAGTTTTCTTATCAAAACATATAATGCAATGCAATACAATGATGTCTGAGATAAATAAACATTCCAGAAAGCCTGATGCATCATATATGCATCATATATGTGAGCCTGGAGCACAAAAGCAGTCTTAAGTCGCTGGGGTATATTTGTAGCAATAGCCAACAATACATTGTATGGGTCAAAATTATTGATTTTTCTTTTATGCCAAAAATCATTAGGATATTAAGTAAAGATCATGTTCCATAAAGATATTTTGTAAATTGCCTACCGTAAATATATCAAAACTTAATTTTTGATTAGTAATATGCATTGCTAAGAACTTAATTTGGACAACTTTAAAGGCGATTTTCTCAATATTTAGATTTTTTTGCACCCTCAGATTCCAGATTTTCAAATAGTTGTATCCCTGCCGAATATTGTCCTATCCTAACAAACCATACATCAATGGAAAGCTTATTTATTCAGCTTTCAGATGATGTAGAAATCTCAATTTCGAGAAATTGACCCTTATGACTGGTTTTGTGGTCCAGGGTCACATATGATGCTCACATTTTAACATGGTTTTTCTAAAAAATTAATAATCAAGTAAACCTAAGTTGCTTCAGTCCATTAAGTGTTCATCTTGAAATATTATTCACAATATTAAAGTTACATTTACTATATAAAAGGAAGAAATTTGCTTATCAAAAACGATACAGTACGTGTTATAGAGTTAAACACAAGAACAGGAATAAACAAGCCATGTTATAACAGAATACCAGCTTTGAGTGGAGGAAAGACCAGAGCAGGTTCTTCTGGTGGGTGAGCTCTTCTTTTCTTCCTCCAGCGCCGAGCAGGATATGTGTACAGCTGTCCCGGTGTGGTACCTTAAATAGCAATCATAAACCGTGTCTGTTAGGACCCAGAGCTGGCTCGATTACTTACAAATTGTAGTCTGTTACTGATTCCAAATTACATGACAAAAATTGCAGTTAGTAACGTAATCCATTACATTACACATTTTAGGTAATATAATCAGACTACTTTTAGATTACTTTTGACCGAACTTGTTTATCACATTGATTTAAATAGAATACAATTTTGTACCATATTGATATAAAAACGCAAAGAAAATAAGAAAATATGTTCCATGAAGTGCATTAAACATCACATTACATTATAAAGGTTCCCAAACTGGGGCTCATGAAGGAACTGCAGGGGGTTTGAGAGTTTAATGAAAAGCAAATAATTAATTAAATCATACAAATGTAAAATTAATTTTTAAAATAACATCAATCAAAACAAAACTTACTAAAACAATGTTGTATTTTATTGGTTTACCTGCATGTCATGTGACTTAACCAATACCAGAGAACCGTGAACATGCAAATGTGAGACTGAATAATTAAAATATTTATTTTTAAATCTCATCGGTACTTAAAGTAAATATATTAGGTGAAAGAGATTCAGTTGACAAAAAAGTCTGGGAATGCCTGCATTACATGTAAATAAGAAATAACGTGAATTTGTGCATTTGAAAGTCAAAAGGCATACTAATACATGGTTAAGTAACCCACTGAGTGATAATTCAAATACAAGATGAGTGTGTTCTTCAGTAGTTGACGCGGAGTTGAAATATGGAGAAAACGCTTCTTAAAACTGAAATGATTTTTGTAAATCCAGTGGTCAAATGCTGCGTGGCCTCTCAATTTTCTGTGCAATTATAGCCATCTGACTAGTGTCTGGTCTTTGTGTGAAACTGGAAAACTTTCTGAATGTATATAAGCGGTAGGCTATTTTAGAAAGGAACCTTTAAAATATGAAAATATGGAGAATCAATAGGCTAAATTATAATTTATTGCTATTGTGTGAATATATAATCAATAAAAAAGTAACTGTAGTCTGTAGAATTTTAAAGTGTAATTTAATCTAGTTACAAATTTTTGGAATCTGATTGCGTAATCCAGATTTACATGTAACCAGTTACTACCCAGCGCTGCTAGTACCAGCAGGACAGACTGAGAATGGAATGAGTGTATTTGGCTGATGCTGAACCTGCACTCCTGTGTCTCTTCTCCATCCAAATGTAGCAGTTGCTTTGAGCGACTCCAGTCTGGGAGTCCAGGAAGGGCATGAGGATGCTCCTCTCTGCACACAGCCGGGCGTTATAACTGTGACACTGATATAGAAATGAAGAGAAAGCAGAATGGGAAAATCATGAAGTCAAGAAAAGAGGATCACGGAGCGGGCAGGTGTGAATAATGACGCTCAGCACTGCTAGACTCTCGGCTTTCGCTGGTTCTTTTGTTTTCGCTTATACGCCACCCGCAGTTTTGCTCTCTGTTCAGAATGATCACAAAGAGGTTTAGTTAGCTGCCATGTGAGGACGGTTCCCTCTCCATATCTGCTGTCAGTGGTGATATGACAGCACCAGCAGAGTGAGAATGTGTATCAGCAGCAGTCGTGTTGCAGAGAGACACTGTGTGCTGGATTTCAGCAGGGACAGAGAAGACGTGTCACACCAGTCACATGCATAAATCAAGCCATTGTTCAATCACTGCACACACACACACACACACACACACACACACACACAAGAGAGAATAACAAATATAAGTTACTTCAAGGCATGTGATTTAGATTTACTGTTAATACACATATTCACTTTTGATTATTTAAATCAGTCTTGGGAAAATAGCTGAGGATTATTTCTATAAGGCTACATTTGGTGCGTCACAACGTACTGATATGCAAACAATGGACATCAATGGACCCCAATGAGAGGTACAAATTTTTGCCAGTGTTAAAAAGCAAAGCCAACACTACAGACACTTTTGTAAAATTGTTTTTTTAAAGATGAAAAAAAAAATGCAGTAAAAGAATCAGTGACTGGCTTTTAAATTGATTTTATAAGAAAACACATGACTGTAGCGCGCTTTCATGTCACACGATTTTCATTATTAGCCAACCAAACACCAGCACAACGCTTCGGACTTAATGTTGACAATAAAACCTTCCCGAATCAGCCACAATTTGAGAATATCACACGGATATTCATTAAAAGAGTTTAAAAACTACATGTACTCACACTTTAACGATATTCTCCACGGCAGTCGCCATTGTTTTTGCTGTAGTGGGCTGTTGTTGTCTTCACTGCGCATGCGCACCAGCTGTCCTTTTTGAATAAACGCTACGTTCTCGTAAATATTTGATCCGTCATAGCAGATGGAAGCTTTGAATTGTAGAACATTTTTACAAAATACACTACCGACACACAAACGATTCTTCGTATTAAGTAAGTAAATCAAAATAAATAAAACGCATTGATTTCATACCGCGGTGGGCGTGGTTACGTCTATATGACATCATCCGTCCGCACCGCCGCCATTTATATTTCACCGCCATTTTACAGCAACCCAGCAGAGATTAGGGTACGAAGATGACGGCGCATATGGAAAATCAACTTTGCAAGCTGTTTGTCGGTGGTCTTAACGTCCAGACCACCGACGACGGGCTGCGAAATCATTTCGAGCAATACGGGACTCTCACGGACTGCGTGGTCGTGCAGAACCAGCAGCTGAAGCGCTCGCGCTGCTTCGGTTTCGTGACCTACTCGAGCCCCGAGGAAGCGGACTCGGCCATGGCGGCCCGCCCGCACGTTCTGGACGGGAACAACGTCGAGCTGAAGCGGGCCGTGGCTCGGGAAGATGCGGGCAGGCCCGAGGCCCTCGCGAAGGTGAAGAAGATATTCATCGGCGGTCTTAAAGACGACATCGAGGAGGATCACCTTCGCGACTGCTTCTCCCAGTTCGGCGCGGTGGAGAAGGCGGAGGTGATCACGGACAAAGAGACCGGCAAGAAGCGGGGCTTCGGCTTTGTGTATTTCGAGGACAACGACTCGGCCGATAAAGCCGTGGTGCTCAAGTACCATGTTATTAACGGGCATAAAGTGGAGGTGAAGAAAGCCCTGACCAAGCAGGAGATGCAGGCTGCTGGGAGTCGTGGTGGCCGCGGCGGATCACGATTAATCGCGACCAAAATAAAATCTTTTGTTTACATAATATGCGTGTACTGTGTATATTTATTATGTGTATATATAAATACACAAACATACATGTTTATATTTTACAAATATTTACATGTATGTATGCTTATATTCATATATAATTTATATTATATATATAAATATTTTATATATAAACAAAAAATTGTTCTTAAATGTATACATGCATGTGTGTATTTATATATACATAATAAATATGCACAGTACACGTATATTATGTAAACAAAAACGTATTTTGGCTGCGATTAATCGCGATTAATTGTTTGATAGCACTAATATTTAAATCTGGTTTTGATTGAGAGCCAATAGCAGTGAAACCCTGTAGAGATTCAAAAATTCATTGGCTGGCAGCAGGCATTATTTGCATATCACGTGATGTATTGAGTGCGCAGAACCTGAAGTAAAAATCCCATTCATTTTCTTCATGAGGCAAGACAGACCCACTAAGCTGTAAGTTTAAATGGTGTTATGCTTTTGTTGAAGCGTTATTTCAACTCATTTTGCAAATATGTGGTAATTAACCATGATTATTCAAAAAAATCTCCAATCGGAGAATTACAATTTGCATATTTTGCAGTAAACGTAAAATGTTTCTGTATACACACTCGATATCTTTAAATCAATAGTTTTATCTGTCATTCGCAGTGCTTCTTGGGATTGCAGTACTTTCCGGCATGGACCGGTTTTGTGTATTCTTTTTGCCATTTTCAAATACTTTTTTGCTTAAAATCTAAAGATTGTAATGATTCGGCTCATAGCTGATTGGTTTGAGTGAATCGTAACTCTTTAACAAATGCTTTTTAAAAATGAATGGGGAAAAATACTCCAGAAAACCAAGGCAGCTGAAAAAGCGGTGTTGCACTCAATTAAAGCACTTGCTGCAGAGTCTGCTGCCAACCAATGAAAGATTGAACTTTTATTTAATTAGGCTCGATGGCAACTAGAAGTTGTTCGTCCTATCATAAGAAACGTGTTGGAATAAACAGAAAATTATTTGGCGTCTCAGTAAAAAAGTAGCAAGTTAAAAGAACTAGTTTCAGCTTCGAATATTCAGGCTCACTAAAACAACCCTCAACATCCGGTAATATAGTGATTTAACGTGTGTCCCCTCCCAATTAGTGTAATTTGTTAAATAGTTCAAGCACATTATGAAAATATTGTCATTGGTGTTACGGTGAACCTTTTGGTCGGGACTCTAAAGACCGATTTGAGTTGTTTTTCTACCGTTTTAATCAATTAGTAAAGGACTTAAATGCTCTTGTCTCATTGTATTACTGCTTCAACGGAATAACCTATTGAATATTGTTTATTTCAGATACAACTGAACTGTATGTATTTCTGTTAATAAAAGTCATTACTCCGTAGCCATTATGGTTTATGACTAGCTGAGATTTATTGGGTGGTTTTGACGTATGAGGCCCATGTAGCGATTTTGTCTTTCCATCTAGGTAAGACTAAAACTGGAGGCCACCCTTTGCCTTTATCAGGCATTGGCTCTAGTGCTCCATATTAATGACTTTTCTTTGCATCAGACGTGGGGATGTCAGTATTTTCCCAACCATATGTTGTCTTTATTCTTAAAATATGTTTAGAGCTTTGTTCCAATACTTTTAGTGATCAAATAAGACGGATCTATACCTTAGCTGTGTCCACTACTACGTCATTGGATTCTCCAGGGCTACTCCAGAGATGTAGAAACCCAGCTGAAAATCCATAGGATAATCGCACCAGGTTTCCAGGTTTGTAGAAATGCTCTATACACCAGACATTACATCAGGTGTGCCTTTAACATACTTTGGATCCACCTGGAACGAAATCAGGTATTTGTGAGTCGTTAACGTAAAGCGTGCATGCAACTTTATTTCAGCTTTTCCTAAATACTAGCTGTGAATAGCGTTAACTGGCGGTGACCATGTAACTTAGAGGAAAAGTGGAAATTAGAACATGCTCTGTAGTTCAATGTGGTGATTGTGGTCTATGTAGTTATGTCTTAATCCAATATTTTAGCCGATTTCCAGTTTAAGGTCAAACCGGAGAACGGAGCTTATAGTTCCTGTATACTTGATGCATTAGTTCCAGATATTAATGACATCAAATGCAAAGGAGATCAGCATTTATTAAGCAAGGTTTGTGCTTTCAGTTATTTACTTTACATCTTATCAATCCCCCTCCCCTCCTCATCTCGGTGTTTTGCTCGTGTTTTGTCCTACATTTCTGGCACTCTAAGAGGGCAGTGATAATTCAGTGAGACTAGTGAAGATGCAACTGTACAACCTCTTGGCATTGGCCTTTTCAAAAGTGAGATGTGCTGCTGTGATTTTCAAAGCACTCCTCCTACATAGACCCTTCTTAAAGGCACAGTGTGTAAATCTGAAGGGGTTGTGTAGATAGACATGTTTCAGGACACCACTTGTTGACTTGACGCTTACATGCATCTGCATCTGTCTTCCATTTTCCACAGAGGGAATGCAATGGAAGGATTTAAATAAAATCTCACTTCTAAGCGCGGCCGCTTGATGAACCTCTGCTGCGGCTGTGAATCCAGTTGCTCTGAAAGATGAAGGAAGAACTCCAGTGAGTTTGGTAAGCAGGTTTTTAAAAAAAAAAATCTGTTCTGCAGTCAGTCACACCAATTATATTTACAGAATTTCCTTTTGTCCGTCTTTGCGTTCTAGCAGAGTTTGCATAGGAGCGCATGTGCATGGACCTCCGAGAGGCAAGATGCCCATGGTAAGATTTAAGAAGTTGAACCCTGACAATGTCTCGCATTTCAGTGATTTGAAATCAAAATATTAGATTACATAATTCTTTTGAGTTTACCATGATCTTTTTGTGGGGTTGAGATTTTGATTTGATCAACTCATGGGAGCGTACATTGCAATAAATATGGTTCTGCTTGGAAACATTTAGCATGTTTAACCTCCTGAGAACCAGAAAAAAAGTTTTTTGTCATGACATTGGTTGGAGCATAAGAAACAAATGGAGAAAATAAATTTTTGAAATGTGTATGTATAATGCATGTATAGGCAAATGCGATGTTTTATTTTTTCATTCACCAGGTTTTAGGTTTCAGGCTATTTTTAACCAAACTTTAAACAAAGAAGATTCTCAACTATGTTAGGAAAGATATAACAATGATTTGATATACTGTTTTACTTCATGCAATATGTGCATAAAATGTCTATAAATTGTTATTCCCATTCTATACAGATCGCATCTAATTTGCATATTAATGTGTTCTTGGGGCAAACCACAATGAAAAAGAAGTGTTATGTTGATCTATAATTTCTTTCCCATTGACATCTTGTGTCTCCCCAAAATGCCTGATTAAAGGGTTACTCCACCCCAAAATGAAAATTTTGTCATTAATCACTTACCCCCATGTTGTTCCAAACCCGTAAAAGCTTAGTTCGTCTTTGGAACACAATTTAAGATATTTTGGATGAAAACCGGGAGGCTTGTGATTGTCCCATTGACTGCCAAGTAAATTATACTGTCAAGGTCCAGAAAAGTATGAAAGACCACATCAGAATAGTCCATCTGCCATCAGTGGTTCAACCGTAACGTTATGAAGCGACGAGAATACTTTTTGTACGCGAAGAAAACAAAAATAACGACTTTATTCAACAATTCGTCTCCTCTGTGTCTCTCCGCATCACCGTAGCGCCATTTTGGCGAATAACCACTGAACGCAAGCAGCGTACGCTCTTCTGTGTCAGCCGCGACACAAGGATACGTTTTCTAAGTGTATTTACGCTTTGATTTGAACGAAAACAGCGCATCCGTGCAGCACGGCTGACACAGAATAGCGTACGCTGCTTGCGTTCAGCGGATATTCTCCAAAACGGCGCTACGGTGATGCGGAGAGACACAGAGGAGACGATTTGTTGAATAAAGTCATTATTTTAGTTTTCTTCGCGTACAAAAAGTATTCTCGTCGCTTCATAACGTTACGGTTGAACCACTGATGGCAGATGGACTATTCTGACGGTGCTTTTCATACTTTTCTGGACCTTGACAGCGTAATTTACTTGGCAGTCAATGGGACAGTCACAAGCCTTATATTTTCTTCCAAAATATCTTAAATTGTGTTCCGAAGACGAACTAAGCTTTTAGGGGTTTGGAACGACATGAGGGTAAGTGATTAATGACAATTTTCATTTTGGGGTGGAGTATCCCTTTAACATTGCCGTGTGTCCTGGTATCCTCTACAGAAGACATGTATGAAAATTATGCCTTGTTTCGTAACAGTCATATTTGGATTTGAAACCCCATAACATTTTTCTGAGATGTTTATTTACAACAAACAATTTGAAAATTAGCCAGATATAAATAATTACAAAATATCATATTTCCCTAAGAGTGCTACATTTGATAATATCAGTCATATTTAAAGACCAAGGAGAGGGAGTGTTTATGATCAAACCTCCAAACATTTGATATCCCTAAAAAGCCCTGAATGTGCTCTGTACATCCAGACTTAAAACTATGGTCTCAGAGAAATTCACTAAAATATGTCCTGTACAGAGTACAAAAGTCTATGCCTTTAATCTCCTTAAAAGGAGATTAAATCTTTCATGCGCTCTTCTCTGGAAAATGTCTTCTCTTTGTTTTTACAGACCTGTGCCAAGATGATGCCATGATAATGGTACTCGGAAGGCAGCTGCATTCGGTTCCTGTGACTGGAATTGAATCAAATGCATAATGGCGAAGTGATAGGAATCATTGAACAAGAATAATCCTGGCATTGAATGTCTGATGAATTCAATAAAATAATAAAAAAAAATAACTGGATAACTTTTGAGTCTGCTATTAATATTTGAATGCATCAAGTTGTGTTACAGAGAAGCTAGAAAATGAACATTTACCAAGCTTTAAACTATAACAGTATAAATGATTAACTGTAATAAAGCTGATAAGGGCCACAGAATCATGATAGTGATGTGACGTGGTTGTGCTCCGAAGAGTCGCCTTGGAGATCGTGGAACGATTGTGTCACTGTTGCCCGGCGACGCGATGATGATGATGATGATGGAGGACCGTTACGACGTTTTCGGGTGTAAAAGTCGGTGAGCCCAGCGATAACTGCGAGCTGCTAACCACTCCGGTAAACAACCCCGGCCATCTCACGAGAGACCGCACTGAGCACGAAACACCCCGATGAGAACGTTCAGCACTCGACTTGAGGCTTTAAACGAACGCAAACGTCAATAAACCGAGTACCTGAGATTTACAAAACATGCCGAAAATGATGTAGCAAGCTAACTAGCCAACTGCCTGGCGCGACACTGCTCAAACATGGACTGTGACGGGTAAGTACGTGCTGCAAGGGAAAAGAAAGATGCAGTTAACTAACTATTTCTTAAGGAAACCGACGTGACTAGTAATGGATAAAGCTGTTATTTGAACCGTAAAACAAACTAGAGAACGCATTCTGAATTGCTATTAGTAACGTTAGCGGCTAAATTGCTAGCGGTCTGTTGTGTATCCGCTCTGTATTTTAACATTATACTTCACATTTAAGTGTTATATATAAAATTGAGAGTAGACACCTTCATAAACGTGTGAACGACTGCTGTACCAACAAGCCAGTAGTTCACCAGGCATTCAAAATAATGCCGTGCTAATCATGTGGTGGTCCGTAAACTGACTTTATCATCAAAACTGCAGAAGAGCGGTCATGGAAAGCTAATAGAAGTTAGTTTGTGATGACAAACGGATTTATTGTGGTAGATAATTAAACACGTAAGTAATTAAACGCAGTTCTGGTTATTAAACATGTTAGTTGCAAAGATCTTTGTGATTCATTCATTAGATTTGGAGTCCCTTGTCCTCTGCCTAGTTTGGATTCACAGGAAGATGCCAAAGACCCAGGGCTGCACACCTTCAGTCACACACACATGAGGAAAGCCTTTCGGCTCATGAATGACTTGAGAAGGTTGGTAAACTAATGCAACTTATTCAGCAACTTCACCTTGTTATTCAGGTAGCCTCTATAGGCACTGATGGGGACACGACCCCCCTAACATTTCGAGGTAAACTGATATGGAATGGGTTTTTAATAATAATATACAAAAAATTCAACTAGTTGCCATTTTGAAAAAAAAAAACATTATTGCAGAATGTAACAATATCACCCAGTTCTTTATGTAAAGTTGGATATGTAAGTATATCCAACTTTATCCGCATGCATACAGTATAACGTTACTCATATAGGGTGATATGTTTCGGGACCCAGGCATAGAATTTTGTCCTCTGTAGAGGACATTATATTTTAGTGAATTTCACACAGTTTTAAGTCTGGATGTCCTGCACAGAGCACATTCAGGGCTTTTTAGAGATATCAAATGTTTGGAGGTTTGATTATACCGTAATAAACACACTTTCTCCTTGGTCTTTAAATATGACTGATATTGACAGAATGATCAAATGTAGCACTCTTAGGGAAATATGATAACGTTCTGTAATTATCATTTCAATCTGGCTAATTTTCAAATTGTTTGTCGTAAATAAAACATCTCAGAAAAATGTTATGGGGTTTCGAATCGGAATATGACGTTTTGTTGCGAAATGTTTTCTGTAGAGGACACCAGGACAAACATCATGTTAATCAGGCATTTTGGGGAAACACAAGAAGTCAATAGGGAACGAAATTATTGATAAATATTCCTATGAAATATGAGATGATATTATGAAAATGATGCCAAGTTATTACTCCCATTATTACACTTATTTTTTCATTATGGTTTGCACCAAGAACACATTAATATGCAAATTAGATGCAATGTATAGATACATTGTATAGAATGGGAATACCAATTTATGGACTTTTTACGCACATATTCCATAAAGTAGAGTAGTATATCAATATTTTCTCAGCTGTTTGATTTAATGTGTAAGGCATGGAGACATTAAGATATTATGAACATTAAAATCATTATTTTCTGCAACGTGTATTGTGAAAAGTAAATCTGACTTGACCTGAAGTAAATTATCAGTTGTGTTAGTGTAGGCTGCATGTCCATAAGATATTTCTGGCCTACATTTCCCAAAAGCATCGTAGAGACTGTTGGCGCCAATGGCTTCTACGATCTCTGTGGGCATACGATACGTTTGGGAAAAGCAGTCCTCGTCTAGATCCTTAGTTTTCTTTTATTTTCTTCCTAATCACAGTCGGAGGATGCTTTGTGACGTTCTGCTGGTGGCGGGAGAAGTGGAGGTACCGGCACACAGAGTAGTTTTAGCGTCCTGCAGTCCTTACTTCTGCGCCATGTTCACAGGTATTACATCACAACCTAATGCTTTTCTCACACTGATGTGAGCCACATGTTCCTCACGACACTCTGATGTTCTTCAACACTTAGTTGGCGCCAATGGCTTCTACGATCTCTGTGGGCATACGATACGTTTGGGAAAAGCAGTCCTCGTCTAGATCCTTAGTTTTCTTTTATTTTCTTCCTAATCACAGTCGGAGGATGCTTTGTGACGTTCTGCTGGTGGCGGGTGAAGTGGAGGTACCGGCACACAGAGTAGTTTTAGCGTCCTGCAGTCCTTACTTCTGCGCCATGTTCACAGGTACTACATCACAACCTAATGCTTTTCTCACACTGATGTGAGCCACATGTTCCTCACGACATTCTGATGTTCTTCAACACTTAGTTTAGATCTGCGATTATGATTTCTAAATTAAAAAATGAAAATTCTGTCATCATTTACTCACCGTTGTGTCGTTCCAAGCTGGAAAACACAAAAGAAGATATTTTGAAGAATGCTTTGGGCACCAAACCGTTTTGGTGCCCACTGGCACGAACAAAAATACTGCGATTATCAAAATATCTTCTATGTTTCACAGAAGAAAGAAAGTACAGCAAGTTTGGAACAACATGAGGGCAAGTAAATGACAGAATTTTGATTTTGGGTGAACTATCACTTTGGTGAAGATTGACCATCTAATTATTTGCAAGGTATTTGTAGCAGCATGAGTAATATTATATATAAATAAACTGTTTCTGCATAAATAAACATGATGTTCATTCTTCCTTTTTTAAGCCTTATTAAGATCTTTGATTAAGAGTTCGTGTTGTGCTTGATGAGTCCAGGTGACATGAGTGAAAGCAAGGCTCACCATGTGGAGATCAGGGATGTTGATGGACAGACGCTCTTGAAGCTGGTGGATTATATTTACACCGCTGAGATTGAAGTGTCTGAGGATAATGTTCAGGTAATGTACTGTTTCAAATCTGTCTAATGACTAGCTTCGTCTGATGCACTCACTCAACCAAGCGTTCTAACCACAACCTCGCCCCTCCCCACACCCCAACCATTCCAATTTCTGTAGGCGGGAATTATTTTTAATGATATTCTAATGAGCCGCTTTGTGATATCACAACGCCCGGAAACCAACCCTGTAGTCCAAACGAGCCGTTGGTTGTAGTTCTTGAAAAGGGATTTTTTTTAACGAAATATCTCCCTTTGGAGTGGACTTTCAGATTTGTAACTTTCTAGATCTTTTTTATGCTCAAACATACACACTGACTAAAATTTAAAAAGTGAAAAAGCATAATAGGACCCGTTTAAAGAAATGTATATTTTTATTCCGCAAGAATGCATTAAATTGATCAAGTGACAGTATGGAAATTTATGTTACAAAAGATTTCTATTTCAAATAAATGCTGATCTTTTGAACCTATAATCTAAGAATCCTTAAAAAATGTGTCATGATTTCCACAGAAATGTTCAGCAGCACAGCTGTTTTCAACACTGATAATAATCAGAAATGTTTTTTGAGCAGCAAATCAGCATATTAGAATGATTTCAGGGTTGCAAAAAGGTGGACATTTTCCAGTAAATTTCAGAAAAATTCCAGGATTTTTTGTAATCTTCCAGGGATTTTTGGAAAGTTTCCGGAAACTTACCGGAAATTTTCCAACCCTTTGCAACCCTGCATGTGACACTGAAGACTGGAGTAATGATGCTGAAAATTCAGCTTTGATCACAGCAATCAATTACATATACAATGGGTATAGAAAAGAATCAGCCCCCTTTAAAATAATCACATTTTGTTGTTTTGCAGCCTAAAATGAAGACGGACACAGTTTTTGTTTTATGCAGCTGTATTTACTCAGTGCAACTTATAACATCCAAGTGAAAGATATAACACCAACATTTGATTTTTTTAAAACCAGAATCACTGAGTTGGAAAAAGGATCACCCCCTTGTGTCAGTATTTTGTTGAACCACCTTTTGCTTTAATTACAGCCTTTAGTCTGTTGGGATTTGTCTCTACTAACGTTGCACATCTAGACTTTGCAATATACAGCTTAATAAAACAAAAACTGTGTCCGTCTTCATTTGAGGCTGCAAAGCAACAAAGTGTGATTATTTTCTATAACCACTGTATATTAAAAATAATATATAAAATATAAAAAATAAAATGTAAATATATTAAAATAGAAAGAAGTTAATTTAAATTGTAATATTTCACAATATGACTGTTTTTACTGTATTTTTAATAAAAAAAAAAATCATTCTTGGTTAGCATAAGAGACTTCTTTCAAAAACATTAAAAGATCTTTTTGCATGGTAGTGTATGTATATGTATTATATTGTTTCAGATAATGCACAATTCTTTTGCTATATTAATAATAAAAAAAAAAACTAGTCATCATTACATAACCTATACTGGTTAGTCATCATGAATCCGGTCTGCAGGCTGCCTGCCTGGTTACCTCATGTATAGTGTGTGTGTGTGATGTGTTTTCATCTCTTTGTATTACTCCTGCTGTGTCCAGGTGTTGCTCCCAGCTGCCAGCCTGCTGCAGTTGATGGATGTTCGACAGGTTTGCTGTGACTTCCTGCAGACGCAGCTTCATCCCACCAACTGCCTGGGCATCCGAGCGTTTGCTGACCTTCACGCCTGCACAGGACTGCTCAGCCAGGCCCACGTTTATGCTGGTGAGCTCTCTTCTTGCTTGAGTCATTGTGGGATGGGAAAGAGCTAGTCGATTAAGCAACCCACCAATATGTATTTTTAGGCCAAGAAACATTTTTTTGAGCAAGTTCACTTGTTTCAAGCAGAGCAGCACTTTACAGACGTCATGGTGGGTGAGGAGTTCATGGCCCTGTCCTTGCAGCAGGTGTGCAGTCTGATCTCCAGTGACAAACTCACCGTGTCCACTGAAGAGAAGGTAACACTACCAAGTTTATTGTCCCAGTTGTGTCTATTCTATTGTGATTCTCGGTTTCTTCCTCATCCATCACATCACAGAGCCTGTTTTTAGCTCAGCCTTCTGTGATTTGTAGACAGCTGACGGTTAATGGTTGGTTTTTACATGTATATGCTGGTGTGATGCTGAAGGAGACGACGAGCCATCTGTCAGTCACCCTGCATTAGCTGCTCTCTGCTTACGAGTAACTTGTGTCACCAGTCTGCGCTCACACACCCACTTGATGGCAGCTGTCGTCTGTCAGATGCTTCAGTGTCATCTGAGCAGCGACACAGGCATTGGAGGATGGCGGCCTGTTCTCCTGTGGCTGCGCTTTATTCATACAATATGCAGAGCAACAAACAACAGACTTTGTTCTCGTCTGTTACACCCCCAGGTGTTTGAGGCCATGATCACCTGGATAAAGCACGATAAAGAGGCCCGTCTGGAGCACATGCCTAAGCTCATGGAACATGTTCGACTGCCTCTGCTATCCAGAGATTACCTGGTTCAGGTAAGACTGGGCTCAGTTTCATAACAAGTAGGGATGTAACGATTAACCGCGAGCCAGTTGAAAAACGATTCAAATATGTGACGATTTAAATCGGTTGAGATGCTAAACAAATCGCGAATTAGATTAGGGGTAGGAGTTTATATGAATGTATGTTTGAGGGGAACTTACTGTCTTTCGGTGGTATTTTTTCTTTTCCTCTTGCCTCTGTATAATGCATTATAGTTCATAAGTGCACTGTGCAGAGCTGCTTTGTTTACAGCGGAAACCAAGGAAACGCTTTAAGCGCCACCTGCTGGCAGAGAGTGAATCTGCGTCTCGTTCAGCTCGTCAGCTGTTTCTGTTTCATGCAGATAGTTTCACAAAACAAATCATTCTGTTTTTGCTTCAGATTTCGAAATTATACAATCTAATTTAGATTAAAAACTGTTCATGTTGCATGTATGCAGCATCTTTGTTTGGATGATGATTAAAATGCAGTGGTTGCCTGCCTCTAATTTTAAATGGAAAGAGCACAGACAAAGCATTATTTTGTTTATGTGAAGAGATTTCTTTTATTTGTGTTATTTATTTGATTTGGGGCTTGTTTTAAAATGTCTATTTAGTTTTGTTATTTACATTTATATTTAAATTTTGTTATTTAGCAGATGCTTTTATCCAAAGTGACTTACAAATGATTACAATAGAAGCAATCAAAATCAACAAAAGAGCAATAATATGCAAGTGCTATATTATTATAGTGTTATATTTCAAAGAAACGTGCAGCATTTTGTCCAAGCAATAATAAAAGGACACATTTAATTTATAATTTTTCTTAAATCTCATTTTGTAAAAAAAAAATCGCGAATCGTGACTCGAGTGAATCGTTACATCCCTAATAACAAGTTCAAGGGCTGTAACGATGCACCCCGAGCCGGTTGAAAAATTGATAAAGATATGTGACAATTCAAGTCAGTTGAAATGTTAAATGAATCGCGATACATTTGGGAGTGAGGGTTTATATGAATGTATCTCTGAGGGGAACTGACTGTCTTCAGAAAAGTTTAGATGGTATTTTCTTTTCATCTTGCCTCTGCATAATGCATATTAAAGCAGTGTTTATAAGCTGAGCTGCTTTGTTTACAGCGGTAACCAAGAAAACACTATATCGCTGCTGTTCCATAAGCGCCACCTGCTGTCAGAGAGTGAATCTGCGTTCTCATGCAGCCCGTCTGCTGTTTTTGTTTTGGTAGTATAAAATTCATAAAGCTATATAATTCATAAAGCTAAAGTATATAATGTATATAATTCATAAAGCTAAAGCTAGACCATTCTGTTGCTTCAAATTTCGAAATAATATAATGTAATTTAAATCAAAAACAGCTTGTGCTGCAAGTATGCAGTATCTTTATTTGGATTGTGATTAAAATGCAGTGGTTGCCTCTAATTTTAAATGAAAAGAGCACAGACAAAGCCTTTGTTTACATAAAGAGATTTATTTTATTTGTATTATTTATTTATTTGATTTGGGATTTGTTTGGTTTTGTTATTTGACAGTCAGTTTCACAAAAAAATTTGCAGCATTTTGTCTGAGAAATAATAAAACGACACCTTTTCATATATAATTTGTCTTAAATAAAATTTTGTAAAAAATGTTTTTGGGAAAATCGAATCTTAAAATCAGTATCATGAATCGCATCGCATTGTGAGTTGAGTGAGTCGTTACATCCCTAGTGAGTTCTCTGTATTTGTTGTGATTGCATTTGTGGTTTTATTCAAGCATTATTTTTAAGATTTAAATGTGTATTTGTACAGATTGTAGAGGAGGACCCCTTAATAAAAAACAACAACACTTGTAAGGACTTTCTCATTGAGGCGATGAAGTACCACCTTTTACCTGCAGACCAGCGGCACCTTATAAAGACTGACAGAACCAGACCACGCACACCAGTCAGTTTGCCGAAGGTATTAATATAATCGCTTCAAACTTACAGTACCAGTCACGTTTGGATGTACTTACTAGTTCTTTATTATCACTAGTTTTCTGAATGATTCACTACTGTACGTCTGATTCAAACTGCCAACTCACATGCAAGCTTGAGGTTGTACTGTTAAATACTGCATAAAACCATCTATGCACACCTTAACAATAAAATCGCCATTGGCTAGTAAATTTTTTAGTTTACTCACCAGTCTAATATATATATATATATATATATATATATATGTACAGTATATGTATGTATATGATTCCACCAAATCAGCTTATCTTCATTCAAGATACATTCATGTGTGATATGATCTGAATGTAGCTTTTAATTGATTGACATTTAACAATCATGCATTTTTTGCATGATTGTTAAATCATTGTTTTAACTGTTTTAACTGTTGATTGTTAAATCCCCCACGGCTGGGGGAAGTCGTGGCCTAATGGTTAGAGAGTCGGACTCGTAACCCAAAGGTTGCGGGTTCGAGTCTCGTACCGGCAGGGATTGTAGGTGGGGGGAGTGAATGTACAGCACTCTCTCCCACTTTCAATACCACGACTGAGGTGCCCTTGAGCAAAGCACCGAACCCCCAACTGCTCCCCGGGCGCCGCAGCATAAATGGCTGCCCACTGCTCCGGGTGTGTGTTCACTGCTGTGTGTGTGCACTTAGGATGGGATAAATGCAGAGCACTAATTCCTAGTATGGGTCACCATACTTGGCCACGTCACTTCACTTTCACTTTCACTTTTTACGATAGAACTTAAGTAATTAGAACTAAAACTTGTAACCATGTATGAATGAAAATGTATGAATGCATATTTGTCATTTTAACAGAACTTAGGACTGGTGGTGTGGTGCTTGAGACATTGTTGGTCATTTAGTGTTTCTGTAAAAAAAAATAACAATAATACTAAAAATATAATACTACTACTACTAATTCTACTGCTACTAATAACAATATAAAATGCACTAAGATCTGATGAGCTGCTGGGTTAAAGAATATTAATCACATTGTCTGCATTCGCTTGAACTGATTTGCTGAAATCAAAACAGTGACGGTAATAGGTGAGCGCCAGCCAATGAGATTGCGGTTTGCGCATTAGTTCCGCCTACTACCAAAGAATAGTACCAATTTTTTTTATTTATTATGCTTGTGTATCAGTTATCTTTTATTTGTTTTATACTAAGTAATGATTGTTTTGGCGTATGTGTATGTTTGACACATTTCAGGGTTTTGTGCCGCAATATCCTGTCATGTCAAACTTGAAATAAAACTAAACTAAACTAAACTAAACTAAAGAATATAATTTACATGTAGCGCATAAATTTTACATGGTAAGACTGTCTTGCTCTCCCTCTCTTTGCATGTGTGAGAGAAACACGGAGCGCTCTCAGCTAAGCGACGGCTCACACTAGAGTTTACAGTACGTCAAATACATCCATTGAGATGAACTGAAATAGTGCGCTTTAAAGACGGAGAGCGAAACTCTCAAGTGCGCAGTGTTTAAAATGAGTAAAGTAAAGTGAAATATCGGTGTTAAACTTATAGTTAGCCTGGCGAGTGAAATCTAACAATTTATTATCCAATGGCTAACAATAGACATTATTTGGTCGCCTAGCATGGAAATTTAGTCACATATGCGAGTGATTTATTCGCATTGTAGAAGGTTATATTCCAAGATTGTTTTTCTGTATTACTATGAATGGGGAAAAAAGTGCAACATGCTATATCATACCTGTCAACATTTGGGTACCAAAATCCGGGAGATCTAAGTGGAGGGGGGATGGGGGTTGATTGGTCAGGGTATCTGCAGTAAAATTTGAGACTTTTTAAAGACCTTTTTAAGATCTGCACAAATAAATTTAATACCATATGAGTGGGTGGCGCAATGTCTATGGCATCATATATTCAACCGTAAAGTGACTGTAAAAAGCATGATTTACAGTTCAGATACAGGTTTTCACAAAAACAGTTTTATAAAATGATAAACTTCACATTTCAGCCTTTAAACCATTTTTAATAAAAGGATTGAGTCAAAAGTATCAATTATTATATTAAATTAGACAATTATTATCAAACAACTATATTACTTTAGTAACATACAAATATATCTTGGTGTATGAATTTTTTATATTTTTATAATGCATTAGCTTCTTGTCGACCCACTGGTTCACATTTACAACTGCATGATTTCTGTGTAAAAGTAAGGGGCGATTTTCGCTTTAGTCTGAACAAAAATAGCAGATGGGCTTAAAGGGTTAGTTCCCAAAATGAAAATTCTGTCGTTAATTACTCACCCTCGTGTCGTTCCAAACCCGTAAGACCTTCGTTCGTCTTCAGAACACAAATTAAGATATTTTTGATGAAATGTGAGAGCTCTCAGACCCTGCATAGACAGCAACGCAACTGAAATGTTCCCAGGTCAACGGTAAAACAGTCCATGTGACATCAGTGGTTCAACTTCAGTTTTGCAAAGCTACGAGAATACTTGTTGAGCGCAAAGAAAAAAAACAAACAATTTATTTAACAGTTCTTCTCCCCCGAGTATCATCTTCCGCAATTTTGGAGAGTACCCAAGCACGTGCATGAACGTAATCTGAGTAATCAGCATTGTTTACGCTTGGGGGAAAGCGTGCGTATGCATTGTGATACTCTCTAAAATGGTGGAAGACGTAACTCGGGGGAGAAGAATTATTGAAAAAAAAAAATTTTTTTTTTCTTTGCGCTCAAAAAGTATTCTCGTAGCTTCGCAAAACTGAAGTTGAGCCACTGATGTCACATGGACTGTTTTACTGATGTCTTTACTACGTTTCTGGACCTGGGAACATTACAGTTGCGCTGCTGTCTATGCAGGGTCTGAGAGCTCTCACATTTGGTTTGGAACAACATGAGGGTGAGTAATTAATGACAGAATTTTCATTTTTGGGTGAACTATCCCTTTAAATCTTTCAAGATTAACAATCAGGCTATTAAAGTGATCAGCTGTTTCCTCACAGAAGTCAACGTGTTGAATTCAGTGTGTTGAAGCCTGACACGCAAGCGTCCACTTCATAAATGAGCAATATGTCATCAATAAACTGACTACCTTATAAACTATGACTGCATTTTTCTACCATCTTAGTCACAGTCTGAAGACCTGGATGAATTTATTGACTCTATTGGCTCTCGGAAGAATTGATTTTCGTTGTGAATCTGACAGGTGATGATGGTTGTAGGGGGTCAGGCACCTAAAGCCATCCGCAGCGTGGAGTGCTATGATTTTCAAGAGGACCGCTGGTACCAGGTGGCCGACTTACCCTCCAGACGCTGTCGAGCAGGTTGTTCTCTGTTCTGTCCCTCATCTCTAGATGTGTGTTTTTCTCTTGGTCTTACGCTCTCTGTGCGTGTCATGTAGGTGTGGTGTACATGGCCGGTAAGGTGTATGCGGTGGGGGGATTTAACGGCTCCCTGCGTGTGCGGACGGTGGATGTGTATGATGGGCTGAAGGACCAGTGGAGCTCTGTTCCCAGCATGCAAGAGCGCCGTAGCACTTTAGGAGCAGCTGTACTGGGGGACCTGCTGTACGCTGTCGGGGGCTTTGACGGGAGTACAGGTAAACCTTTGAAAAATTAATGTCTGTCAGGATGCATTCATACAGTAAAGTTTGGGATCAGTAAGATTTATTTTGAAAGAAATTAATACTTTTCTTCAGCAAAGGTGCATTAATCAAAAGTGACAGACAGTGCTGGGTAGTAACGGATTACATGTAATCTGGATTATGTAATCAGATTCCAAAAATGAAGTACTTGTAATTAGATTACATTACATTTTAAAATGCTCATAATCAGATTACAGTTAAATTTTTATTGATTACAAAATTACATGATTAGTAAAATATTAATCACTTTTGATTCTCCCGAATTATATTTTTTTCTCTTTTAATTTTCCTTTCTAAAAATTCCACTGTATCATACCATTTAGCTTTCACAAATGTTGCGTAAATAAATTAGCAAACCATGGTTCTGAATTCGGGTGAAAAAAAGCATCTCTCAAGCAATTAGACCATGTATGAAACAAATAATTATGCAAGCTGTTAAACACTGTTGTCATCATACCCAGTGACCTTCAGTAACTGTTCATTCTTATATTAAGTCCAGTTTGGGAAACCCTGGTGTAATGTATTGTTTAATGCATTTTATTGATATCAAATCAATTTTTGTTGATATCAAAAAGCTGCATATATTTTCTTTCTCTTTGCTTTTTAATATCAATATGCTATAGTTAATGGTAAGTTTAAAACAAGTTTGACAAAAAAAAAAAGTAATCTAAAAGTAGTCCGATTACATTCCCTAAAATGAGTAACTTAGAATACGTTACTAATTACAGTTTTCATCATGTAATCTATAATTAGTAACAGACTACAATTTGTAAGTAATCTACTCAACTCTGGTGACATATATTCATATAGACTCAGATATTTATTAGGGGTTGTCCCCGACTAAGGATTTTCATAGTCGAATCGGAATTTTCGAATCTTGCCGATAGTCGACTGATAGTCGAATCATATGTTTGGGGGCGGGGGGCAAAATACATTAACAAGAGTCAAGTCAGACATTCAACAGCCATAATTACTGACGTTAACACACAGGGAAAATGTGTAACGGATGCCTCGCAGATACAAAAATAATGTTTTGATTAAAAGGTAGTGTTACGACCCAAAACTTATTTGATTTGTCTAGGGACATTAAAGGAATGTAACATTCATAAAACTCTATAATAAAATTTGGTATATATTTTAATAATGCATATCAAACGGTGGGCAAGTCGTGAAGAGGAGAACACTACAAGTTCAAACAGAGAAAAAGACATTTATTAATTTCAACCCCAACCAATACACCAAGAAATGGGCTTTAAATTGGTCCAAAAGGAAAAAAAGTATATATATTTACAATTAACAATAAACAAAAAGAAAAAGAGATTTACAAACTCACCAAATGAAGTAATGAAGAGAGCGCGAGTGTTGCCAAATCAAAGAAACAAATTAAAACAGAATTCTTCTAACTAAAGAATTTAAATCTAACCTAGAATAATCAAAATAAAAATCAAAACAACATCTTCAGCGTGCTACTCGCACGCCCTAACTTAACTACTCTACTACTCAAACCAAAACTTACAGCGGGTGGCAACACTCCTAAACTAATGAACTAATACATCAAAATAAACCACGTGAAGCGCGATGTATGTCACGTGACATCTTATCCTGCTCTCTTCTCAACAGGTGAGCAAAGAGCACGGACACACTCCACGCTCAGATCGAATAACAAAATTAAATACAAGGGGTAAAACAAAGAATAAGACAAATAAACAACATAGAGGGTAACAAAGCAAGCATACTTCAGGCTACAAACATTTCAAAGAGGCGCACAAACACAGCCCAGCCCAGCCCTCTTGAAAACAGATGCGACATCGCCTTTTATACTTCGGCGGGGAGGCGTCAATGGAGACAGCGGAACCCATAATGAGTGACAGAAAGGGAGACCAATCAAGATCTAGTGGGAAACACAAACAAATTAATATACAAACATAACGAATCGTAACAGTAGTTAACATTAAACATCAGCGAACCCCTAAGAATTCACAACATTTTTTATAATAATGCTCTCATTATAACGTTATGTAGGCCTATATGACAGTAGTTATTAATGTTCTGCATTTTTGTTTTGAGCTGTGCGCGCTGAAGATGACCAGTAGAATGAAGCAGCAGGTTTTTAATCAATGGGATTTAACTCATCATTTATCTCATATAGAATACGCTTCGTTATTTATACAACATAACGTTAATATTACGACTTATAGGCTATCTGCACAAAATGCCCCGAATGCATGAATGTGTCTGCTCTGAATTAACTCCTTTTGTGGACGCGTTCTTCACGTAACAACGTGCAGAAACACGGCAACTAAACTCTAAAAATTCACAGCGTTTTTTTATAATAGTGTTCTCATTATAATGTTATGTATATGACAATCCCAGTCATAGTTATTAATATAAGGCATTGCTGTTTGTCCTGCTCGCGCTGCGCACTGAAGAGATAATCACCGTAGAACTACAATGAAGCGCTTTACTGCAGCGCAACTCAACCAAATGCATCTTATACGAGATAAATAATATATACACGATATATATATATAAATGCTGAAATGTTTTGAAATCGCTTGTACCCTACCTGATCGAAAAAAATCCAGTCTTTCACTCTGCCTGTGTCAATTTGAGTCTTGTTTAAGTTTTAAATCCCTGCCGCCAAGATGCTCCTCTGTCAGACACGGATTATGGAAAGTGAAACTTAAATCTATAGGGGTGGTTGGATTTATTCACGCACGTTAAAATATTTATTTAAAGCTTCTTTCTTTTCAGATTATTATTTACAGCATTATCTCAATAGGCTGTATATTAACTTTGGGAGAAAACCAGTAGTTCTATGTAGACACTGAGCACCCCCATATAGCCAAAATGGCATGATCATAACAGCTCTGCAAATATTCGACTGTGAGATTGGTAGTCGAATCAGGCTCCTCCTATCGAAGCATCGAATCTTCGACTATTCGGGGTCACCCCTAATATTTATAATGTCACTAAAGTTTTCTGTTTTGAATAAATGCTGTTCTTTTGAACTTTCTATTCATCAAAGACTCCTGGCAAAAATGTATCACTTTTTACACAAAAATATCAAGCAGCTCAACTGTTTTCATCATTGATAATAATCTGAAATATTTCTTGGGCAGCAAACTGGAGTAATGATGCTGAAAATTCAGCTTTGATCACAGGAATACGTTACACTTTAAATATATGAAAATAGAAAAGTGTGAAAAATAGAAATTGAATTTCTGAATATTTGTAATCTGTAATATTTGTATGCAGTCTTGGTGAACAAGAGACTTCTTTCAAAAATTAAAAAAAAAAAATATAAATAAAAAAAATCGCACCAGCCCCAAACTCTTGAACAGTAGTGTAGTGTATGATTTTTTATATGTTTACAGATGACGCTGCCTGGTTTTAGCACAAGCAGCCTCATCATTAGCCCTGTTTGACGCATGTTTTGAATGGCTGATGAATGTCTGTCTCTGTAGGTCTGTCGTCAGTGGAGGCGTACAGCCCCAAGGCTAATGAGTGGATGTTTGTGGCTCCCATGAACACCAGGCGCAGCAGTGTTGGGGTGGGCGTGGTCGACGGTGAGCATTTTGAGTTCATGTGTGTTGATCACTACTGGAGTAATGATGCTGAAAATTCAGCTTTGATCACAGGAATACGTTACACTTTAAATATATGAAAATAGAAAAGTGTGAAAAATAGAAATTGAATTTCTGAATATTTGTAATCTGTAATATTTGTATGCAGTCTTGGTGAACAAGAGACTTCTTTCAAAAATTAAAAAAAAAATATATAAATAAAAAAAATCGCACCAGCCCCAAACTCTTGAACAGTAGTGTAGTGTATGATTTTTTTATATGTTTACAGATGACGCTGCCTGGTTTTAGCACAAGCAGCCTGATCATTAGCCCTGTTTGACGCATGTTTTGAATGGCTGATGAATGTCTGTCTCTGTAGGTCTGTCGTCAGTGGAGGCGTACAGCCCCAAGGCTAATGAGTGGATGTTTGTGGCTCCCATGAACACCAGGCGCAGCAGTGTTGGGGTGGGCGTGGTCGACGGTGAGCATTTTGAGTTCATGTGTGTTGATCACTCTGCTCACTATATTGAGATTCAAGTGCAAACATGTTAATGAAATTAGACATGCAATAATAAAATGCTTTAGGTGGCATTTAGTGAATTTGCAAAGAACATTTCACAACATTTTACCTTTTGGTTGTTGTTGTAACGCATTTAAACTGTGCAGCTGTGATGATTCATGTAGATTGTGTAGTGATTTCACATAGCTTGTCTGATGCCTGTACAGGAAAGCTTTATGCTGTTGGAGGTTATGACGGAGCGTCCCGGCAGTGTTTGAGTACTGTAGAGGAGTATAACCCAGTCAGTAATAAGTGGTGCTATGTGGCGGACATGAGCACTAGACGCAGTGGAGCTGGTTTGTTCCTTTTTGGACATGACTTGAATATACTTTGGGCTCATTTCTGTTGAGTCTTACAGTTGAGGTCTCCATGGATTGTGTGTTTGTACAGGTGTCGGAGTGCTCAGTGGACAGCTGTATGCTGCAGGAGGACATGATGGTCCTCTGGTGAGAAAGAGTGTGGAGGTCTATGATCCTGCCACTAATGCCTGGAGACAGGTGTGTGACATGAACATGTGCCGAAGGAACGCAGGTGAGTAACCAGAGGAGAGACAGTTGAACATTTTAGAGGCACAAATAATTGAAGACAAGATTTTCCACTGTAATCTAATTTCATAATGCATAAAAAACGGCAGACTATTCTGGGTCAGTTTTGACCCTGGGAAACAGAAGCTTAAAACCGTTAAACATTAAAAGTGAATGTGAAACATTTCAAAGTTTTGTATGCTGCTTTTTTTTTATTAATTAAAAAATTTTGATTATTTAAAAAATTTAAAACTACAAATGAACCATAGCAAAAGCAGTGTGGTGCAAGATTTTTTTTTTTTTTTTATAAATATTCATGAAGGTTTTACATTTTATATATTGTTATATGAACTTATCTTAGAATTAGCAGTATAAAATCAATGGTTTATTTAATTAAATTCCTTACATTCTCATGAATGCTTAAAACAATCTAAATTTATGAAACCTATTCATTTTCTAACAAAATAACACCAAAAACATAAATATTACTCTAGAATGTTTTCAAACTAAATATATTGATTTTACATGCATAAACTGTCACTTTTGTAATGAAAAACATTATACAATTTTAATGCTGCAGTGGTTGATCAGTAGGTGCCAGCAGAATGGACGTTTTATTTATTTAGTTATTTTATTTTTTTCTCAAATTTAGACTATTTGTGACCCTGGACCACAAAACCAGTCATAAGGGTCTATTAGGATAGGACAATATTTGGCCGAGATACAACTATTTGAAAATCTGGAATCTGAGGGTGCAAAAATAAAATCAAAATATTGAGAAATTCGCCTTTAAAGTTGTCCAAATAAAGTTCTTAGCAATGCATATTACTAATCAAAAATTAAGTTTTAATATATTTACAGTAGGAAATTTACAAAATATCTTCATGGAACATGATCTTTACTTAATATCCTAATGATTTTTGGCATAAAAGAAAAATCAATAATTTTGACCCATACAATGTATTGTTGGCTATTGCTACAAATATACCCCAGCGACTTAAGACTGCTTTTGTGCTCCAGGGTCACATATGGTCTTTTGCGCTACACCACTTTGGGCTGTTGTTCATTTGATATAGTTCATTTGTTTATAGTGTGTTTGTGTGTGCACATTCATATTCATATTTATAAAAAAAATAAAATAAATCGGTCCTAAAAGCTGTGAGATATAGGAAAGAGGCTAAATTTATTTTACAAAATTATTTTAATACCATGTGTAAAGTTACAGTTGATATCCAGGTCAAAACTGAATGCATGATTAAATGTATTTTTATATGATTATAGTTTTAAAATAGTCTAGATGTATGTGTGTGTGTGTGTGTGTGTGTGTGTGTGTGTTATTTATACAATTTTTTTAGAAATCTCTTCCAGCTTAAAAGTGACCTGAATGCATTATATGGGCGAAAGAAAACAAATTTATATCTCTAAAAAAGTTCTCCGGCGTTCCTGCTAATGAATGCCAAACACTGGATGTGTTTCAAGACCTTTAAAATCATTGTTTATAAGGGAGAGCAGGAAAGGCCTGTGGGTCTGAGTCAAGTGTGTTTGTCTCTAGGAGTGTGTGCCATAAACGGTTTACTGTATGTGATCGGAGGAGACGACGGCTCATGCAACCTGTCCTCTGTGGAGTACTACGACCCTGCTGTCGATAAATGGAGTCTCATCCCCACCAACATGAGCAATGGACGCAGCTACGCAGGTCTGCTTCACTCTCACGACCTCCATATTCTACGGCCAGTTGTTCAAAAGTTAATCTGATTGGATTTTGGCTTGGATCAAGTCTTGAAAATGCGTTGTTCAAAAGAAAAAAAAAAAGAATTCTGAAATCGGATTAGATCACAAAATCCAATCTTGGTTTTGATCTGGATCAAATTGTCAGTTTGTGTTGTTCTAAACTTTTTAGTAAGATTGGGATTTCAGGAACAAAAATTTAATAAACCTTTAAAACTGGTCCAGAAATACAACATTTGTAATAGGTAATATACACACATATTATATAGACATTAGACAGGTAGACATTAGCCTACCTCTTAAGCCTTTCAGTAGTCTACAGTAAAGCAAAGAAGAGATTTTAGTGGCATAAAATAATCCCTAAACAACTGTCAATATCAAACAAAAATACTATATTTCATTTAGTGTTTTTTAAAATCAATGTTTGTAAACTACATTGGCACAATCATCAGAGAAGAACCAGTCAAAAATAGTTATTTGTGAGCGAACGCACATTTTCTTGTGTGAATGCAAGGCAGAGAAAAAAGCATTGGCAATTTTTAAAATCTCATATTTTTTTCCATCACCGTGTCCCTTTATGGGCTCTATAGAGCACTAGTAATCCAGATTTGTTCATCTGAAAATGTGTGTATCTGGATCATTGTGATCCAATCCAATTTTGCTTTGAAAAACCAGCAGAAAAATAAGATGGATTACCTGATCCTGGATAGCAAAACATGGGATTTCCAAATCCAGATCATTCTGATCCAGTTAAGCTTTTTGAACAGCTGGCCCCTACTTATCAGCTAAAGCTAAACTAAACTGCTGTCTTATCTGTTTCAGGGGTGTCAGTTATTGACAAGCCATTATGACTAAAAGTTCTGGGCAGCAGGTCTCTTCGCACCTGTCGCGGACTGAGCTGTGACAGACAGACAGTGATTTAAGACAGAGTCCAGATGCTGACAGGTGCTTGAAGCTCTCCATCTCAAATCCTGACTGCCTCACACACACACACACACACACACACCAAGCCCTGACCTCTCCCAGTCTCCAGAAAGTGCCATTTAGCCCTGTTATTAACCGAGAGGCTGTGTGATCGCCCAGTATAGTGTGTATTAAACGAGACCTCGTTTATAATCTGCCAGGACAGAGTATGTATGGGACGCCTACATGGCCTGTGCGGATCTGGGTGCAGGTGAAGATTGTGCCAACAGAGGCCTCTCTGCTTGCTTTACTACTGACCGACAACGCTCTGAACAAACACTCGCATCGCAGGAGCAGTCAGTAAGATGTAAATCTGTTTCTACGGTCTAACACTAATGCATATCACACCCTTTAAAGCGGATCAGGACTGGATATCACTGACTTCTGTTGGTTTGGTTACAGGGTTACTTTATATTTTTATAAAAAGTATTATGGGAACAACCCCATAAGTTGTTTTAACCAGCTGCTTTCGTGCCATATAGTAATGAGGATGGTAAACTGCTAAACCGAAACATCAAATAAATCTCACAGGGTAAAGGTATGGTCACATTAGCGAAATTTCACTTTCAAACCAAGCAGCTTTCTATAGAATCCTTTGCGAAATCTGTGTGGAATTTCTTTGAAATTCCAGAGTGCATGGATTTCGATAGAAATTACTGGATTTTGGGGGTGAAAATTCGACAAACAACAGTAAATGTGACCATACCAGTTAATGTGCCAAATGTAACCCATAATTCATATGGATAATACTGTATGTTAGTTACTTGTACATAAGCACTTTTCATGATGCAGTTTGGTGTGCAATCGTCCATGTTGGACACACAGAGTCTTTCTTTTATCATGATAACTCTCTCTATAGATGCAGTCACTGAAATAGCACTGGCTTGGTTTCTCTTTGGTAAATTGCACTGTTCATCTTATTCAGTAGAGCTGTACTATTGCAATCGCAGGTCAATTCCAATATAGCACAGGTTCATATTAAGTTCACCATTTAACCTGTTCTATCCTGACGGGGTCATTTGGATCTGTGCTTCAACAGAAATGGACTTTGGAAGACTCTTTTATTTTATTTTTTAAAATATTAAGCCGCCTTAAGGTTCTTTTTCTCATTAATGGGTTATAGGCTCTGTAAAGCTGCACAGTAGTTCACTGTAGACGTTCATGTTTACAATACTGATCATTGTGAAATGAAAACTAAATTTGTTGGTAATGAATATGAATTATTAACAAAACACTGCCAACATTCTCACGATGACCAACTTTGTTAATTTGGATATATACCAATCTGAAAGTCATACTATGCAGTAAAACATTGCTTTTAAGGTTTTTGTTGTTCGCAGTGATTCAGAGTTTAATTTGAGCTATTCCTGGTGTAACTGCTGCCATTACATTGATGTCTTTACACATCATCATGATCCACAACTCTAAAACTATGACATTCCAGTGTAGTGCATCATCTATGGATTATGCACGAATGTGGTTCGTGAACAAGGTATTAATGTATTTCTAAACAAAATGTATTAATAAATTAAGCTTTGTTTAAGGGAATTTGATTGCCATGTCTTGTAAGTGTTGTGGCTGCTAGATTATGAGCTGCCACTGGAGGGCAGCAGTTTGTCATGCATTGCCAAGATGAGAGAAATTGAAAGTGAAAATGATCTTGGACACGTGTTTGCAGATTTGCATTAAATTTGCATTAACGTAAAATTTTGGCCAAGCATATTTTAAGCCTATGTATACAATATATGACTAGTCGTGGCCTAATGGTTAGAGAGTTGGACTTGTAACCCAAAGGTTTGTAGGTGGTGGGTGTGTGTGTGTGTGTGTGTGTGCGCAAACTTGGATGGGTTAGCCTAAATCATGCAGAGCACAAATTCCGAATATGGGACACCCTTCTTAGCTACACGTCACTTTTCACTTTCACTTTTTATTCTGTTCATTATTCACCTTTTCACTGGAAGTAAGCTGTTTTCTGTGAATGTGCCAGACTTATATTCCATTAACCACTACTGGTAAACTAGAAGAATATCAAAATGTGTGTCCCAACTCCCAAATGATATAGTATACAATATTATGCACTTATACTATTAGTAGTAGTGTACTAGTCTAGTCTATGGACTTTATGAGGTTAATGCAGTAATTAAGCCTGATAGCCCCTCTCTTTCCGTTATAAAAGGAAAGCTGTGGCAGCTGAATGCATGAAGTGTCCAACATGTCAAAGTTTTTTTAAAGGCCTTTTCCGGTTAACTCCGGGTTTCTGAGCAGCATTAGTCGTCATAGTTGGGAGACTACCACAAATATATTTTTTGCATTCTCATTTGCTTAAATAGCAAAAGAAAAACTCAATTTTCATGACATTCAAAAAAGGTAAAAAATTAATTAGCGTTAATTCGTTTTTTTGTAATTTGATGCAAAGGTAATATAATACAAAGTATAGTGTTATAAATGCACTTTGGAGGATTTACGATGCTAATGACCGTTGAAACACGTCATCAGTCTAAAGCTCCATTCACACCAAGAACGATAACTATAAAGATAACGATATTAGCGTCCACACCAGCGAACGATATCATCTGTTTATTCTAAGCGCACACTCGTCTGCCGCTTTAAATTCTCGAGCTCGTTACAGCAGGATGGATTCTGATTGGCTGTCAATTTTTTTATCGTTCCATCAGCTGGAAAAAAAATCGTTTTGAAAGTGATTCAATATCGTTTCTCTTTGTCTTTATCGTTATAGTTGTGGTGTGGATTCTTGCTATTCTTTAATATTGAGAACGATTTTTAGAACTATATCTTTATCGTTATCTTTATAGTTATCGTCCTTGGTGTGAACGGGCCTTAAGGGTCCATTATTATTGTTAGCGACACCGTGATGATATATTGAGGTCTTACGAAGCGAAACGATCAGTCTGTGCAAAAAACATTATTCACAACATTATTACCTGAGCCGCAGGGGAAACGGGGAAATCCGATTCTTCGGTGTCTCGATTACATTTACATTTAGTCATTTAGCAGACGCTTTTATCCAAAGCGACTTACATTTAACCTGCAGTTACACATGCATAAATAATTATTCGTTTTAAACATAAAACGTTGAATACCGATATTTTAAATGATTTTTAACATGAAAAAAAAAATAGTTGAAATGTGAAATTAAACCCGCCAGTAGGTGACAGCAAGTGACTGTTAATGAGTGAGTCATTGAGATTCAACAGATCCGTTCAAACGGCTGTTGATTCAGGAACAAAGCATTTGACTCTCCATTCGGAAGGGCTCATCCCTATGCCCTAATCCAGGGGTGCCCAAACTCGGGTCCTGGAGGGCCGGTGTCCTGCAGAGTTTAGCTCCAACTTCCGAAGGGCCCTTTGAAGTGGCCAGTTTTGAGCACTTCGGTTTGGAACGACCCTTCAATATGGCAGCCATGATTGTTTTCACTCCGAAGTGAAAAAAACGCTCGTCTCTTTTAGACCTGCATTCTTAAAAAAAAAAAAACTAAAGCCCCGTCCACACCAGCGAACGATATCGTCTGTTTATTCTAAGCGCACACTCGTCTGCCGCTTTAAATTCTCGAGCTCGTTACAGCAGGATGGATTCTGATTGGCTGTCAGTTTTTTATCGTTCATCAGCTGGAGAAAAATCGTTTTGAAAGTGATTCCAACGATATCGTTTCTCTTTGTCTTTATCGTTATAGTTGTGGTGTGGACTCTGCTATTCTTTAATATTGAGAACGATTTTTAGAACTATATCTTTATCGTTATCTTTATAGTTATCGTCCTTGGTGTGAACGGGCCTTAACACTTGCTTTCCAATCTTTTTGTATTCTATCGGTTTTCTTTTCATTTATTATACAATTAACAAAAGCAAAAAAGACCTCTAACACTAGCTTGCTCTACTCTTTTTCTATTCTATCTGTTTTCTTTTTATTTATTATATTATTTAAAAAAAAAAACCCTGCTATGTGTACTGCGTTAAGCTAACTGAGACTTGTTATAGCACTTGTATATCATTGCTCTTTTGTTGATTTTGATTGCTTCCATTGTCCTTATTTGTAAGTCGCTTTGGATAAAAGTGTCTGCTAAATGACTAAATGTAGGCCTAAATGTAAGTGCCCTTCGGAGGGCGATATATTGCGTTTGGAACGCAACGCGTGTTAATGAGTGAATCACTGAATCATTTATTCAACCGACTTGTTCAAAACGCTGATTCGTTCAATAAGTAAACACCATCCATTGCTCAGATGCAAAACAGTGCTGTGATCTTTGTTTGGAACTATTTTCGTTGGGAAAATTTAGCAAAAACAGGCGATATTGTGTCTAAAATGTAAGTCACTTAATGCCAACTTTATTAAATTTGTATAAAATGATTACATTTGTTATCATGCTGATATCTGGAGAAAAAAAACGGCACTCTTTCTGTGATATAGATTATATTAAATTATATAAATATAAAAAAAACAAAGAAGCATGTTTGCCATCTACAATAAATAAATCACGTGCGTGCACTCTCTGTGATTTGGTGATATACTCTATAATGTCAGATTGCACATCGTTAAAACAACGCTTACCATATTATCGCAGATGATATATACAGTATATCGTACACCTCAGCCTCGACTTGAGTAAAAAAAAAAGAAAAAAGAATCATCCGCGGTTGTGTGTGCACATGAGCAAAGGTGTTTTTAGGAGTCTAACTTGCAGACGCCAAACCACTGATTCGTCAAACCTGTTAAAACCCCACTTTATTTTGTGGTAAGTAACGAATATGCTTCGGGGAAATGTATCGGAGTAAAAGTATACATTTTAATTAGGAAATGTAATGGACTGAAAGTGAAATCTGACAGAAATATAAAAACTCAAGTAAAGTACAGATACATTACGCCACTGTTCAAGATAATGGTATGAACACATGCAACAAACCAGACCAGGGGGCTGTTTCATAAAACACGTTTACCAAATAAGCCAGGCTGGTTTCTGTTAGTCTGATTTATTGTCACTTGATTTGGTTCAAAATAAGTCAGACTAACTAAAATAAGCCTGGCTTATTTGGTAAACTTGTTTTATGAAACGGCCCCCCGATGAACTGATTTAACTGGTCAACGATTTGAATGGTAATTTCTTTCATGCAACATTAACCAGCCTAATCAGTCTTTTACAGTTTTTGACCATCTTTGCCTATTGAAAATATTCATATTCTGGTCTAAACTAGTCTACACGGTTTTAATATTGATGTAAGGAAATCTTGAATTAAAAGCTAATTTAAGTATTTATTTAGTGGAATAAACCTGTATTTAATAAACATTAAGTTTATTTATATAGCACATTTCATACACAATGGTAATTCAAAGTGCTTTACATAAAAGAAAAGAAAATAAAACAAGGAATTTAAAAACTTTGTAAATGATTTAAACATTGATTTAAGAGGTTTAAAATGAATTTAAAACAGTTAAGAATAGAAAATGATTATACATAAAATATAGTGCAATCAGTTCGGACATCGCATTTAAGAGTCTGAGTTTAAATGTGACTAACGTTTTATCACATCTGATCTCTTCTGGAAGCTGATTGCGACTGCGGGCGGCATAATAACTAAAAGCGGACTCCCCTTGTTTTGTGTGAACCCTTGGTATTTCTAACTGACTCGATCCTAATGATCTGAGTGGTCTGTTAGGTTTATATTCAGTGAACATATCTGCTATGTATTTAGGTCCTAGGCCATTGAGTGATTGATAAACGAGTAAAAGTACTTTAAAATC